GAATTCTTTTTGTAACCTCCACTGACAGGGATTAACTGCAAACGACAGTGTTGCCCAGTTAGCCAAGAGTCTGCCACAGACTTCACACTTTTTAATAGTCTGGGATTGCTTGCAGTTTTACCCGGACCACAAGGAGTTCGTCACCCGACTGCCGCGAAAGTCCGGTTTAACCAACTTCGCTAGAGAGCTGGGCATCTGAGTTAGTTATGAGAGCCTAGGTTTTCTCAACAGCTTGAAGGCTTGTCTACCCTGGTGACATTCCTGCCATTGCTTGTTCCAGGTTTCTGTGAGAAATTGCTTTGTGGCTGTTCTGCCCTCTGATTTCCCTAGCAATGTCTTGGGTGTTGCTGCATCTGATGTTATCTGTACGCTTAAACACTTGAATATCAATCAGTACTTGCTACATGGTATGTGTGTAAATCTATGTGTATACACACAGTGAAAGCACAAACACTGACAATAAAATAACATGTAAAAGGAAACAATAATTATATGCAGCAGTGATAAACAGTAAATTAAAGAGCAGTAGAGGAGGATATTGGCTGGCTGAATGGTTAAGCACGTTTGGTTCTCATCCAGGAGACCCAGGTTTGATTCCTTGGTAAGGCTGTGGATTTTTTTTTGTCAGGGATGAAAATACAATCCTAACCTGCACAGTCCTTGATGACAGCATTGGCCATACATACACCCCTGAATCCCCAGACTTAGCCTCCTCCTCCCTTCACGCCCACACCACAAAAGCGGTAAAAAACAGGCAGTAATGGCAGAACTTTCTTTTTAATTTAGGGGCATTGCAGTACAACAGAAAATACTATATTTATACTGAAGCTGAAAAGTAAACTATAAACAGTATCTTCTTTTTCTTCTTTGCGTTCACCAGCTGTAAACTGCAGTGGAAAGTTCTGGTTGTTCGTCCACTTTTGGACTGCAGTCCTGTTCCAGAACCTGAGTGTTGCGTGTGCATCCGTTTGACAGATATGACACATTTGTGTGCAGACTGTTGGTTCCTTGTCTCTCAGGCCGATGTACTCCGACTTTGAAGGAAGCTCCCAGTTAGTTGACTTTTACGACATGCTTTTTGGTAGGCTGTGGGTCTATTCTTGTTTTGCCAATAATAGGGCCCCGAACCCACACAGGGGTAACTATAAACAGTTTTATACATAAAGAAAGGAATAGGCAAATATTTTAATAACACTGAAAAGATGATTCTACCAGTAATGTTATTTGAGGCATCAGGCCGCCTTTACTTCCTGGGACTGCACCCGGTACCCACTCAAGGCTGGGTCAACCTGGGAGCCAAAGTCATTTTTGAAAGAAGTCCGGCTCCGCCAGGGAGCAAACCCACGACCTTACGATCCTCGGTGAGCGTCTAGCCAGTCCACCACGGTGACTCCCCCGCTTATATTGATAGTTTTGTGTTATTAAAAAACGGGGAAAAAAACCAGCAACATAACCATACATTATTGACACTCATTCAAGGAACTAAAATGTTAAGTTAATTTACTAACCTTTCTTGCAGTTGTATTAACCAAATAAATTGTTTAAAAATTTATGGTGTTTTGATTCTGTTCTCGGAGGTTAAATATTTGCTGCTTTTTAAAATTCTTGTAGGCAGGCTACACATTAGTGCACTTAGCATTGCGATTCCAGCGTGAAGACATGTTGGCCATTCTGTTGACTGCAACCGATGCTGCTGCCAAGGCAACCAAGCGTTTGCCATGCATGGCCTGCCCTGATACAGCCACGGACATCCGGAGGCAAGTGGTTGCATCGCTGCGTCAGAGAAAAGGGGATTTTCCAATCTCTTTCCTCACTGATTGTGTCACCTTCTCACTCCCAGCAGGTAATTTCTTTCACAGATTTAGAGGTAACTCAATTAGTAGTTTGTGTATTAAGGCACTGGTCTCTATTTTTTTTTTTAAAAAGGAAGATTTATCTATCAGAATCTATGGTACATTAAGGAAAATCTATTTGTCAAAATCTCTAGTAAAATAAGAGATATTTAAAACATGCTATGGAACTTTTTTGTACCTATACAAATATTTGTGAGAACTTGCCATTGAAGAAGTAATGGAGATATCCTTACCACACACAAAAAAAATATATATATATATATATATACACACACACACACATTTTTTAGTTCTAAAATATAGGACCTTTTCCCCATGTTATCAAAACAACTGGCACAACGCCAATAAATAAATTAAAGGAATTATGATGTTGACAGATCTCAGAACCTGGCTGCTCAGGCACTCTGAGAATTCTGTACCCCTCTGCCCGCAAACATTTTCCATCAAATTACTTTGAAAACCAGAACAGTGTAACATTGATAATATATAATAATAAGTATATTACAGAGCACATGCTTACTGAACATAAATATTTTCCAGATATTGAAGACTTAGCAAGGCATATACAGGAGCAGCTCTTTGATGAGATTCTAGACCGGGGGGTACAGAATGGTAAGCCTTTCATTGTATGACTGAACTGATTACTGAACCTTAAATGTCTGGTAAAACCAGAAAATATCAATAAATGCTGGAGTTGGTTTGGGACATCCTGAAGAGGTGAAAAAGCTAGAGGTAGACAATGATACAAGTGGGAGGATATCATCAAGAGATGGACGAGCAGCAGTCTGACATGTACGCTGCTAAGAGAGGTGACAGAGCGTGTTGGAGATCCATTGCAGCCAATGTTTATTGTGGAGGAGGCACCTGATTGAAGATGATGAAGAAGATATGCAACTAACTTTTCACTCATTGTATGAAAAGATGTGCAGTGAGAAGGGTAAAAATGTTACTAAGGTTAGGGTAGCGGGGTAGGGAATCTCTGGGAGCCATTTCATGTGTTTGGGTCAGCCCTAGCCATGTTGGCCTGAATAAATTCACCAAGCTTTAAAAGATGTGGTCACTTCATACTTTAGGAATGTGTTGCTAAGGAATGTGTTGCTAAATTCAGCTTGATCACCTGGGGACAAATACTTTCTTAAAGTAAGTTATTTTTTTTTTTCTCCTCTGACTGCATTTATGTAAATTTTTTCTTTCTCTTCTTCTTCACATTCACTGGCTGAAAACTCAGGCAGAAATTTTAAACTATTCATCCACTGCTGGACTTCAGCATTGTTCCAGAACCTGTTTTTGCATGCACATCCATTTTACAAATCTGGCATATTCTTATCCAGACTATTGGTTCCTCACGTCTCAGGCAGATGCACTCCCACTTCGAAGGAAACATCCCTGATTAAATAATTAAACTTGTATGGTCTTCTTCTGGGGAAGGGGTCTTTTCTTTTTATTCCTCACAACGGAGTCTTAAAACCCACATGGGGACATGTAATATTAATTCTGCAGAAAATGGTCTGCTTAGAAATCCTAGTGCAGTTGGATAGCATTTTTGAAAGCTGTAATTAGCAATGCTGATTGTGAGGGGTGTTTTTTTTAACTCCATTTTATAAATATTTGTCTATTTTGTTCCAGAGCTTGAGGTGGAGGAGGCTATCATCAACTGGAGCATTGAACTGACCGAAAGATTGGGCAGCCGACTTTATGCCTTGTGGAACCGAACTGCCGGGGACTGCCTCCTGGATTCCGTCCTTCAAGCCACTTGGGGAGTGTTTGATTTAGATAACTCCCTTCGACGTGCCTTGGCTGATAGTTTGAGAGAGGGAGCAATGAAGTGAGTTGGCCATTTCAGTTATGTTTGTTGCGATTCAGTTAGTCAACGAAGAGTCATAAACATAATAAAGTTTAGGCTAATTAGAGCCCCAACACTGTCACTCATCTTGGTTGTAGTCTCTCAGACTTCTTTTTATCTATATCTTGATGTTATCCTCCCACTTTTAACACTGTTTACCTCTTACCCCTTCAACTTTTGCGTCCAGTGTGGTTTCTTCTTCTTCTTCGCGTTCACCAGCTGTAGACTCTGGCATAAGGTTCTGGTTGCTCGTCCAGTACTGAACTGCAGTCGTGCTCCAGAACCTGAGTGTTGTGTGTGCATCCGTTTTACAGATCTCATTCTCTTGAATACAGACTGTTGGTTCCTTGCCTCTCCGGCAGATGCACTCTGACTTCAAAGGAAGCTCCCCAATTAGTCGACTCTTACGACATGCTTTTGAGGATGCAGTGGGTCTATTCTTGTTTTCCCCACAATGGGGCCCCGGAACCCACACGGGGGTCAGTGTGGTTTTCTAAGTGCTATATCTTTATTATGGCCAAAATATTGTAGTTTTCTCGTATTAGGTTTTTTCAACAACCCGCTTTTCATTGGGTTGACTACAGGTGACCAGTGGGTACAACAGCCAATTTTGTTTCTTCTTCAGCATTTGAAGCCCTCACACACGTCCATAAATTTATATAGTCGAAGTAGAAAGTAAAGGTTCCTTTACACGCCAGTGCCACATCGGGCATATGATGAGGCTGGACTCATATTTTTTAATAGATCAATGAACCCTGGAAAGGTGATGTAGTTACCATCATCCTGTCCGCCTTTATTTCCTAGGACTTTACCTGGTACCCATTTAAGGCTGGTTCACCTGTGGGGCCATGGTCAGGTATGAAAAAATCCAACTCTGTATGGATTTGAACCCACCAACTTCAGATCTGCAGGTGAGCACCCAGCTACTACACCATTTCAGCTCCTTAGTTTACAGAGACAAAACATAAAAAGGAAAAAAAAAAAAACAATTACAGCACAACAGAATTATCAGCACACCAAGCTTTCATTTGTGCACATAGACAAAGCTACAAACACATTGTGTGTTATTTGGTGCTGAAAGAGTTAACGCGATGTTTCAGGTTCAGTCCCCATGTGGGTTCTGGGGCTTCATTTTGGAGAAACAAGAATAGACTTTACGCCCCGCCCCCCCCCCCCCCCCCCCCCTCATCTCATAAAAGGCAACTAATTAGGGGTGTCTCTGTGTGATTAATTAGGGGTGTCTCTGTGTGACTAATTAGGGGTGTCTCTGTGTGACTAATTAGGAGTGTCTCTGTGTGACTAATTAGGGGTGTCTCTGTGTGACTAATTAGGGGTGTCTCTGTGTGACTAATTAGGAGTGTCTCTGTGTGACTAATTAGGAGTGTCTCTGTGTGACTAATTAGGAGTGTCTCTGTGTGACTAATTAGGGGTGTCTCTGTGTGACTAATTAGGGGTGTCTCTGTGTGACTAATTAGGAGTGTCTCTGTGTGACTAATTAGGGGTGTCTCTGTGTGACTAATTAGGGGTGTCTCTGTGTGACTAATTAGGGGTGTCTCTGTGTGACCAATTAGGAGTGTCTCTGTGTGACTAATTAGGGGTGTCTCTGTGTGACTAATTAGGGGTGTCTCTGTGTGTCTAATTAGGAGTGTCTCTGTGTGACTAATTAGGGGTGTCTCTGTGTGACTAATTAGGGGTGTCTCTGTGTGACCAATTAGGGGTGTCTCTGTGTGACTAATTAGGGGTGTCTCTGTGTGACTAATTAGGGGTGTCTCTGTCAAAGTCAGAGTGCATCTGCCTGTGAGGCAAGGGCCAAAAGTCTGCATACAAATAAGCCGAATCTGTAAAATAAACGTGCATGCAAAACTCGAGTTTTGAATAAGACCAAATCAAGTAGTGGACAAACAACCAGAATGGTGAACAGGCGGTGAACACTAAAAAGAAGAAGATAGTTCAACAACATATATATTCTCTTACATTAAAACATTTCACAAGTGTTTCCTTTGATGTATGTGTATACCATGCTTTTGTCTGAATTGAATAGATGCAACATTTCATGATTGTGTTGTGATTTCAGCTTTTATCCACGCTGGAAGGAGTATGAGTCCATGCAAGCTGAGTCTCTTCATTTCACGCTAGATGAAAGCCAGTGGCAGCATGACTGGGCCTTGTTGCTGAGTCTTGCCAGTCAGCCTGGTAAGTTCATCCTTCATCATCATCATCATCCTCATCATCATCATGGGCCTTGTTGCTGAGTCTTGCCAGTCAGCCTGGTAAGTTCACCCTGCATCATCATCATCATCATTAACATCATCATCATTAACATCATCATCATCATCATTGTCCTGTTATACCATTATATGTCACCTAGGGCTTGCAGTCCATTCCTCCATTCCGTTCTGTCCTGTGCAATCATCCCTTCGATATCATGGATGGAAATCAGTCCTGCACCTTAACTCTTTGTATCCCACGGAAGGCATCACGAGCTCATTGGTTATTACCCAGCTGCCCAGTCGGCAGATGGCACATTAAAGTTGCTTATCCTTTACAGGACATTGCAGAACCAACCCCAGCATTTTTGGGCGGTTGTGGTTTTTTTAAGGCAAATTCATGTCCAGTAGTTTGCCATTGGTTTCTGGACGTTCTCGACTCCACTGTCGAAACCAGCGCAAGGCCCACAACTGGGGTCAAACCAAGCACCCCTGGCATTAGGAAGCGCGTTCGCAACGCCTAAGCCACAGACGCCGACCAATTTACCACTGACGAGTTTAAAAACTTGAACTGGCAGTTGTAAATAGTTGTAAATAGTTGATTGTATATATATATATATATATATATAACTACCCAAATATAACTGTACCTGAGAACTCCATGACAAGGCCATCATTGGGTGGAAGTGACAGAATCAATCTTAAATCACTCCAGTCTAGGAAACTAACAGAATTACAAACATTGCTGACACAACTTAGCCTTCAGCAAAGAGTCGTAATGCAGTGGATACTGTCACATTGTGGAGTGCCTGGAAATGAGAAAGCTGATCAACTGGCAGGGGAAGTGCGAAAAAAGTGCAGCCGAATGTACCAGTCACATACCACCAAAAGAAAAGAAAATAATTAAATCGATCAGGAAACCACCAGCCCCAGCACAAGACGACTATTTTATTATGAACAGATCAGAACAAGTCATTATCCTCTGCCTCAGAACGGGGCACAACCGATTACATAATCACATGTACACAAAATTCAAGATAGTCATATCAGCCATGTGCACCTGTGGAAAGGTGCCCCAGACAGCAGAGCATGTACTCCAGGACTGCACTGAATTTGACACATTAAGGCAAATTTTTTTGGCCAGAAAGAACAACAGTGGAACGTAAACTCTATGGACCACTGAATAAACTAACCACGACAGTGAAATTTATACAAGAGACAAAATTGCTGATATAGACAACTTATTTCAGGTGAACGAAAGAAGAAGAAGTAGATTGGGTGGGATTCAGCGTACATAACCTCTCCCTCCTCCTGCCCGCGGAGTAATCATCTCTTTAAAAAAACAAGAATGCAAACCTGATGTAAGGGACAAAAGATCATGTGACACCAGTGGCCAACATTGTGTTATCAGTGCCAGACCTGGACATTAGCAATAAATAACATAACACAGGAGAGTTGAAGACTACGAGGTGGACCACGAAGACTTTAGAGAGATAATTTGCATGCGGGACGGGGGAATGAATAGAAGCACTGCCAGGATATATGTGATACAAAGCCACTGTTTTAGGATTTGATAAAATTGAATGGGTTGGGCTGAAAGGTTCAGATATCTTAGCCTAGCTGTAAACCACAACAGAACCTGCCAACCACCCTTTTTAGGGAAAATACAGAACAAGAAAAATATTAACATTTTTTTGTGCAACAAGTGTTTGAATTCTTGTGTTAGCAAGTATGTTGTAAATTTCTGCAGGAACGTCCCTGGAACAAATGCACATATTTGCACTTGCGCATATCCTGCGACGTCCAATAATAGTTTATGGTGTCAAGTATGTTAAAAGCTTCAGAGGAGAAACCATTGGATTTGCCAGGTTTCAGGGTGAGTGCTGCCATGGCTCTTATGTCTTTTGTTATGCTTGAAATTATGTTTGTAGTGGACATAGTTAAATTACCAAAATATTTTTAGTTGCGGCAAGAAAAAGCTGTTGTGGCACAGTAGCTAGGTGCTTGTCTGTCCACCAGAAGGGCATAGGTTCATAACTGAGTCAAGGCAGATATTTTTAAAAATTGATGTGGTCACCCAAAGTGAAATGGGTGCCAGGAAATGGTTTTTAAAAACATGGGTTTAGCACTTTATGTCCATTGTGTGATAGGCTAGAAACGGGTTCTTCTTCCTTCTCCACGAATTTCAGTTTTATATACCTATTATTGAAAAGGCAAATACATTTTGGGAACATTTGGAATTGGATTTCTTAATCTGAGTAATAATAAAATATTATATCGAAGGAGTCTGTTTTTGTTCCTTGTGCTCCTACTATCTGAAAGCCTTCTCCTTCTGCAACCAAGAATCACATCCTGGGTAGCAGCCCAAAAGAGCGGAGCTTCGATATCCTGTTCAACCTGCTATGACGATATAGTTAGGGCACCTTTAAAAGGCTAAAAAATATTACCCTGGTGTACACTGCAATTCTGTGTGGGTGAATTTATAAATTCTATCCTGATATACGGAAGTGAATTATGGACAGTTGGAGAATTAGTGACAAATTGTTTGGAAGCGGCGAAGATATGGTTTGTTAGATGAATGATGCATATAGCCAGGACAGATAAAATAGGGTAAATGACAATGTCTTGAAAGAAACTGACTCATGAAGAGAACTGATTGCTCACATCAGAAGGAGACAATCTACATTCGTTGGTCCTGTCATGAGAAGGAGAAAACTGGAGTACATCGTGACAGCGGGAATGCTGGTGGGGAAAGCGGAGGCAGATGCAGACCAATGCTGGACAGTCTGACATCATGTCTTGAAGATCATCTTCATCAGAATTGATTGAAAGTACACAAGACAGAAGGTTGTTGATGACATAACCACCAATGTCACACAGCATAGACAGTAAGAAGAAGAAAGATGGGGTTCGAAAGAATTCTGTTCTTCTGGTAATCCTAGTTTCAGCTTCATAGCAAACTGGTCACCCCATAGTTGCTCTGCTCCTGTGCCAATGAAAAACACATGTAGCTCACAGTGTCACGCCATGCACTCAACTCAGAAGCTGGGCGACGAAACTATATCCTTCCAGTCTACAAATGAAGCAAAAATGCAATTCTGTTCCTTCCCTTCATGGAGGCTGCCTTATGGTTCGACCACCCTAAGATTATAAACATTGTGTTCTGGATAACAAGCTAACAGGGCAAATGCCAGATTCCCGGTTGAATCTTTAAAGAAGCTATCATCTTCTTTTTTGGCATTCACCAGCTGGAAGCTCTGGTGAAGAGTTCTGGTTGTTTGTCAGTTTTCAGACTTGAGTCTTGTTCCAGAAATTGCATGCACATCCGCTTTACAGACCTGGCTTTAAAAAAAATGCATTCTGTGGTTTCTGGCCTCTCAGGCATTCTGATTTTGAAGGAAATTTCCATAATTCATTTACTTTTAAAACATGATGGGGGTAAAGGGGGGGGTGGGTGGGTTGAGTGTTCTTTCCCCCCCCCCTTCAGTGGGATCCTGGAGCCCAAACAGACAAAGAAGTTATAATTGAGGCACCCTTGTTGGCCACACCAACCCTGATGCACAGCCTGTATCCTGTTTGGTAAGAGATACCTGGTATAAGTTCAGGGACAGAGTTGGTAGATTTGACCCCTTCTGGTTTGCTGTCTGAAAGACTTAACACCCAGTGACTCAAGGAGCCATCATTTGGAAGAGAATCCAACAGGTGCAAATCCCAGAGAATGAGTAAAGAATTGACATCACTGCACTCAGAACATTCCCACGTGTGTGCCGTCTCCTTCCCCGGTAGCCAACAAAGAGTCCACATGTTAATAGTTCCAGCCTGATTAAAAGTCTGCCTGTGTTTCCCCCTTAGTGTTGAATATCTTCCAACACCTCTACTAACAACACTCTCTTTTTACCCCGTTGAATTAGTCTTTCATTGTATGGATGCTCTGTTCTGTTGCAATGTCCATTTGATCCCAGAGTCTTTACCACATTTGCTATATCGTAAAGAAGCTCACCATCCAGAGGAGCAGCAGCAGCCACTCTGTCAGCTTGTTTATTACCCTGCACACCTGAATATCCTGGACAGAAAACTTTATATCTGAGTTTTATCAAGTAAAGCCAGCTACTCTACATGCTCTGTGAGTCTGTTACAATTGCAGTATGTCAGTCTGTGCTGTTCTCAAGATACTGTTACTGAAAGTATATGAAAGGTACATGGAGCCATTATCAGGAAGAGAATCCGCAAGAGCAAATCCCAGAAACCCTGTTCAGCCTTATAACACATTAACACTGTGTGGTTACACAATAACCTGCACCAGGACTGTACAAAGAGTAACCACCACCCGGTGACACAAAATGCCACCACTCAGATGAGGATCACCCAGGCACAAGTCCCAGAAACCATGTTCAACCCATAGGTTGGGTTAGATTAGGGCTCCCAACAACCGTCGGTGTGGGGATTTAACGAAAAACTGCATCCCATTCTTGGATCTTTGGTTTTAGATAATGTAAGAGTTAGGCAGAGCATATCTAAATAAAAGACAGTTTACATTACATATTAAAGTTAAATCAATCTGTTGCAACAGGTGTTTACCTCCCTTTGCTGTGGGAATCCTCATTTTGCTGGAAGAATCCTGTTGCTCTTGGTTACACCCGAGGCCACTTCTCTGCTCTGGTAACTATGGAGATGGATATGGATGATGGGATAGGTGCTGGTGCTAATACAGACTCCAGTGATGAAGAGCAGGTGGCTTACCTCCCATTGGTGGATTGTGAAGGAAAATTGCTGCAGGTTCATTTTCTGTCAGCATCAGAAGTAAGTTTCCTATCAATGCCGTGTTTCACTATTTGGTGTTTATTACATATTTTTATGAGTGTCCTTTTTTTCTTCTACTTTTCCTGTCATCATTGCTGTATTACTACTTTATATTTATTACATATTTTTATGAATATCTCTTCTTCCTTTCCTGTCGTCATTGTTATATTAATACTTTATGTTTATTACATATTTTTATGAGTATCTTATCTTCCTTCATTTCCTGTTGTCATTGCTATATCACTTCTTTTTCTTCTTCTTTTCTGGTCCTGTATTGCCTTTCAGCATAAAGTTTTGAAGTGGCATCGGGTGAGTACCTAGTATGGGCTGAGTAAGTGCTGGTATTTACAGTGTCGGCTATTCCTTTTATCCAACGTTTGTGTGATTGACCGATGGCTCTGCTTTCACTGTGTCTGAGTGATAGGGCTGTCTGTGATACACTGTTTGATGCTAGTCCGGACACAAGCCTAAACCAAGCATTATCACTATTTTGTGCTTTTTACATGTTTTTATGGGTATCTTTTTCTTCCTTTCCTGTTATCCATTGCTATATCACTACCTTATGTTTATTTCATTTCTAAAATGAATGCTTAATCTCTAGCTTAATTTCGCAATTTCTTAAAAATTATATTTCTGCTGAAGTTTGATGCGAGAGATTACAGATGTTAAATTTTTCTATAAATTGTCCAAGTTTAAAGGTGAAGGTGATAGGATCGACTTCATTGTAATGGGTTTCATCCCATATGACTCAGTCTCTCATCGCAGAAGTTATCTGCCTGCCGAGGGCATCGATGCATCATCCCCGATGATAAAGTCCTATGGCAGATTTTGCTGTTGAAGTGTCATGTATGAGGCTTCTACATATTCTAGGTCACAGTATAATGCATTGGAGTGACAAGTTGAACATAGGTTTAGCACCATATGCCCAGTGCACCAGTGGTGTGAAAATAGTCCTTTGTTTGTTTCTTTTCCTCTTCTTCTGCACCAGCTTCAGAGGGTGAATGGGATATGTTTTGTGTTTTACAGCTAGGCTGTGATATCTGTACCTTCTCGTCTGGCAGAACCGATTTCAGCAAATTCTTGTCACCTTTTATGATATGTTTGCTAAGGGGCAGTGGGTCTTTTATTTTTTCCTTGAAAAATTGTAACTCGGAACAGACAGAAGGATTTTTCTTTTGATATGTATGCCTAATGATGTAAATAAATCTGTAAATTGCCTTGTTGATTGCAGATTGGCCGAGAGGAGGCAGTACTGAAGGAATGGCTGCATTGCCAAAAAACTAAAGGGGGTCTGCTTGTTGCAGTTCAGTGTTTAGGCAAGAGGCCTGTAGCGGTCAAGCAGATGGTGGATGAATGGTTAGACCACTACAGAAGGCTCCAAACACAGCCAGCTGCACTGTCAATCAAAAGTACCTTTTCAAGTGATGGAGAAAGTGATGATGAATGAGAACTGTCACTCCTTTGAGCTCATTCTACCAAGCACTTGTTCAATTCATGTATTGTGTTGTTATGAATGTTCTCTTTTGTTTGTTTTTCTGTTGGTTTTGTTTTAAATCTCATATTTAATAATGCTCTGCTTACATGTTTTAGCTCTTAATATTCATCGACTAGACTGAGTCGACCAAACTGAGATTGCAGCTACTGAGAATAGATTGTATAAAGTGGCAGGAATGTACATTAAATGTAAATTTCATGTTGTTTAGGTTTTTGTTTTTTGATAACCGAGTTATGGTGTCTGTGTGCAGCTTTTTGTATTGTGTAAAGTCTGACTTGCAGCATATGTTGCTGTGAACCAAAGAAATTATACTTCAACCTGCAACACAATGAAGAAATATTTTGCCAGCTGTATTTGCTTAAATTATAAACTAGCTTCTACTGTATTGATAAGAATGTTTAAATAAGTACCATATGGTTAACTACTGTTTTGTTTTTAGATCTGCATAGATCATCAGAGGAAACATCATTCTAGCAACAGTTACAACAGTTGCATAGATCATCAGAGGAAACATCATTCAAGCAGCAGTTACAACAGTTGCATAGATCATCAGAGGAAGCATCATTCAAGCAGCAGTTACAACAGTTGCATAGATCATCAGAGGAAACATCATTCAAGCAGCAGTTACAACAGTTGCATAGATCATCAGAGGAAACATCATTCAAGCAGCAGTTACAACAGTTGCATAGATCATCAGAGGAAGCACCATTATAGCAGCAGTTAAACAGTTGCATAGATCATCAGAGGAAACATCATTCTAGCAGCAGTCACAACAGTTGCATAGATCATAAGAGGAAGCATCATTATAGCAGCAGTTACAACAGTTGCATAGATCATCAGAGGAAGCACCATTATAGCAGCAGTTACAACAGTTGCATAGATCATCAGAGGAAACATCATTCAAGCAGCAGTTACAACAGTTGCATAGATCATCAGAGGAAGCATCATTCTAGCAGCAGTTACAACAGTTGCATAGATCATCAGAAGAAACACCGATCTAGCAACAGTTACAACAGTTGCATAGATCATCAGAGGAAACATCACTCTAGCAGCAGTTACAACAGTTGCATAGATCATCAAAGGAGTCATAATCCTAACCTCAGTTACAGTAGCTCATAGAACCTCAGCGGAAACATGACTCTATTAGCAACTATTTCAGCCCAAAGTACTCCTGATACTATGAGAAAGCTCCCATTAATGTCATGATCTTCAGTGATTTCAGTGCAGGATAGTTTTTAATGTTATTAGAAATCGAAGTATGAGTAAAATTATATTGACAGACAGTTCTTACTTTAGATGACAGGAGAAGCTGCTGCAGATGTATTGCTTTATCACAGAGTTTCTGGGAAATGGACCTCCAAGCAGTGAAAAAAACAAAACATTATGCAGTTTGCAGCTAACACAGCATTTGTTTGTACATATTTTATTATCATTTATAGTCCTCCACAAGAGGATGATTATTACAATTGATTCCCATCTGGGGGGAAATCAAATGGACAGGCATTTATTTAAATGTGTTTTGTTTCTGAAGCAGTTGTCAACTCCTCCACAGTTATAGTTTTTTTTTTCTTCTTTATCTGACGTTTTTCTTTTCCCATCACGCATGAGGAAGTTTGTTAGTATATTTTAACATCACATATTTTGATTGCACGGGGAGTGGTTGTTTTTCCATATCTGATTATTGCATCTCAGTGAAGTTAAGAGAGAGATTGGGGGACTTTGTTTAGTTTTCTTTCTAATCTTTGTCTCATTAATTTATCATAACACTGTTCTTCCATTCAGAAAAGACACTAGTTAATATATTTGTAATTGCATTAGTGCTATATGTTTCTGCTCCATATAGCAGCACAGATTTGATATTTAAAGTTAAATTTTATAAGTTTGGTACTAATTATAATTTCTTATGACTTCAGAAAAATGACTTAGTTATTGTCGTAGTTCCTCTTGGAATTTTATTGTAATGACCTTCCTTATTTTTTCCATTGTTGTTTTCCATTGCTGCCTCTTCTTCTGCCCCCAGTGGAGCATGGGCTCTCAGCCACCTCACACCAAGTCATTCTGTTCTATTTCTATACCACTGTGGGTTCCAGTGCAAAGACATTATGGTTATCTTATTTTCATGGGTTTTTTTTTCAGCGTATATCCTATCCAGCGCCGGTGTCTTTTCTTCACCTCTTGGTCCACTGGAACTTCATTGCTACCTAGATAGTTGTAAATATATTAAAGTGGGTTTTCTCCAGAGGAGAGTGACTATATTTGCTTGAATTTATTCTCTTCTTCTTTCTCCTGTGAATTCTTAGACCTAGTTGTTTTGGTTTTCAACAAGTGTCTTTACTTGATCTTTCATCTACTTTCATGAGAGGGGCTCCAAAGATGTAGAGATACTGCAGAGTTCAGTGGTGATGACTTCATCATGTCAGCAATCTACTATTACATGTAGGTTAGTTGTCATCCAGTGTTAAGGCATTATTGTTGGTAAATTTTAGCTTTTTTACTAATGCTCATTTGTATGTTGTCATGAATCTTTTAATTTTAGCTTTATTACTAATGCTCATTTGTATGTTGTCATGAATCTTCTTTTAATTCTCTTTGCCAGTGATTTTTTTTTTCTAGACAAGGCCACAGGCCTGTGAAGGCTGTGTTGGGACACATGTCGTCCACTCGTCTTTACAATTTGGTTGCCGCCAAAATGCTAACTGGCCAGACCTGTTTTCTCCCTACTGCATATGAAGAGCATGTCTATGGCACATTGTCATCATTTGGAGTCGGCTGTGGTTGTCATGAGTGCACATTGTCATCATTTGGAGTCAGCTGTGGTTGTCATGAGTGCACATTGTCATCATTTGGAGTCGGCTGTGGTTGTCATGAGTGCACATTGTCATCATATGGAGTGGGCTGTGGTTGTCATGAGTGCACATTGTCATCATTTGGAGTCAGCTGTGGTTGTCATGAATCAGAAATTAGACAGTGAAAATAATTTATTATATGGCCCAAACAAGAGCATGGTTTGACACATGTGACATCTGTATTCAGGATGGGAGACAATGCAAACCACTTCAAACATAAATAAATATTTTATGCATTTTATTATTACGTACAAGTATTAATGTGTTTAAAGAAAATATATTTTACAGTCCAGAGGATTGACTTTATTATGCTGGGTTTTTATCACATTTGGCTTAATCTTTCTGCAGAAGGGCTAACTGCCTCCATTAATTCCAGTGATGATTCCCAAGAATTGTTGTAAAAATTGCATTTGTGAACTGAACGACACAGTCCGTGACAGAAACCCTTGGCCTTCAGAGCGCTAGGCAAGCAGCTTAGTCACTGAGACCCCATTTATGGTTTAATGTTTGAATGTGCTACCACTCTGATGCAGACTGTTGCAGTATCATTAGCTGTTTGAAGCTTGTCTCATCAGGCTGCCGAGGTACGTGTATTGATACATATCACAGTTTATATATAGTTTTGTCACATATTTACTGCAAAGTAAAATATGCTTGTCTTCATTTTTCTTTTCATATGAAATATAAAGCCAGCTTAATGTTGTCTTGTAATAAATACATTTTCTTCTTTTTTCTCAGTTCAAATATTTCTTCTCAGTTCTCTTGTCTTATTACATCATTGTTGAATTATTTTGTGTGTGTCTTTTTTAGCCCTGATATTTACCCTGTTAAAAGGTATGCCTAGAATCTCTTAATGTCAACATATCTATCATTTTTTATGATTAACCTCTTGCTTTTATTCTCTTGTAATGAAACTACGTCACCCTCTGAGGGACAGTTTCTGTTATTGCGTTTGTTACCTGCTTAAACCATCTCATCTGTTCTTTCAACAAAAAAGTTAATACTGTCATTGTTCCCACTTCTTCTTCACCTTTCTGAACCCTTGAAGTTTATTACTGCAGATAACACCCGCCTCCATTTATTTTATCTCTCTGTTTGGCTTTATCTTCCCACTTGGTGACTCCAAGTGTTTGTAGTTCTTCTTCTTCTTCACTTCCTCTTTTACCGCTGTGGGTGTCGAGGGAGATATAAGGTTCTGTTTCTAGCTCTTCTAGCCGCCTCGACCATAGGCACATCGTGCTGTTGTAGAGTTTCTCTGATGTTATCCTTCCATCTTGTTCTTGGTCTACCTCGTGTTCTACGTCCTTCTTCTCTTTCCATGTTTGTAGTTCTGCCTGTATATTATCACTCCAATTGTCCCCACTTATAATCTATAATTCTTTTTTTTTTCTGGTTCAGTCCTCTGGTTTTCCCAGTTGTTTCATTGTTTATCTTTTGTTTTTACTGCTTGCTTTGTCTTCACTGTACATGTCCAAAGAATTTATTGTAAGATTTATTTATATATTCAGACATTACAAGGCATACAGTTGATTTACTATTGGCTGGCGTAAAGGTGTGTTTTCTCCCCTCCCTCCGTGTCTCATTTCAGCATTACAAGTTATCAGTGTAAATTGTAACTTTATATAATAAAATATGGTTTTTCCAAGCACTAACATTGATGGCTTTGCATTGTCATGAAAAGGTTGTTAAGCAATCATTATGTGTGGAAATGGAAAAGAGGATACAAGTTTTTGAATGTAAATGCAATAGACACATTTTACGAATTAGTTATTTAAAACAAAGAACTAACAAATATTTCAGAGACAGAATAAGCAGATTCGCAGGACAGCATGAGCCTCTCTTGGCAGTGGCCAAACACCGCAAGCTAGCTTTGTTCAGGCTCGTGGTGAGACATGATTTGATTGCAAAGATTCTACTTCAAGGAACATTGGAGGTTAACCGAAGAAAAGGCGGGCAAAGAAGAACCTGAAATGACAACATCAAAAAATGGACAGGACTAAGCTATCATACACTTATTCATCAAGTGGAAGACACAGAAAGATGGCGGGTTTAATGTGCTAATGCTTCTATTGATAAACCTATACAGCCGTAATGGAGCAAGAGTTA